CGGGCCAGGGGGCCCAGAACAGCTGTGACAGCAGCCGCCTCCGGTTCCTCTCGGGCACAGGGACGCCGGCCCCGCCCGGACACCTGGTTCAACAGCTCAGCCTGAGTTAAAAAATAGGACGCAGAACACAACCCCAAAACTGTTTTGAAAATAACCTGCGTATGTGCACAGGAAGAAAAAGATGGGAGAGGCATTCACTAAATATGTAAGAAGCAGTGTCAAATGTAGAATAGTGGGTGAATTTTTTCTTTTCCTGTGCTTTCCAAAATTTTCTCCATAAATAGTATTACTTTTTCAATTAGAAGAAAACATGATAAAAGATGCTGTCAGTGATATGTTCATATTAAGTTTAATTTAGTGTATATTTAAATTTGCAAAAATGATTAAATTGGATACACTTACAGGCGTATAGCCCGTATGTGTGTGTAACTACGTCTATGTATCTCGTCCACTGGTGTTGGCAGCTTTGAAACCTAGAATGTTAAGCCTGGCTGGCATTAAAGATCAACATTCTCCAGTTCTTCTTTTTATGGAGAAAACTGAGGTCCCAGGAAGCCGAGAAACAACTTTTCACTGAGTCTTGTTCTTAACGGGAGTTTCCCCAAACTTTAATTCTGTAGCTGCTTTTATTCCTACTTTATGGAGATGGAAACAGGTACAGAATCAATTCACCCAAGGGCGCCCAGCTAGGAAACCACAGAGCTAAGTCCCAGCCCTAGTTTCCCATGCATAGCCCATCGAGCTGGAAGGAAGGAAGGATCTTAGAAAAACATCTACTCCCGGAAGCCTCAAACATTCAGAAAGCCAAGAGTGTTTTGAATTGTCTTTCCTGAGCCCCTCCTGGGTGGTACGAGCCTCCTCTGCCTCTGGGGAACCTGTGGTCCTGTTCCCAGATGGGCCTCTGGGAGCCTTTGAAGGAATGGATGACAGAGGTGTGTGGACACAAAGGTCACGGCCCCCTCCCTTTCTTGATGTGGGACAGGTCGGGTGGGGATGGCCTGCAGGGGAAGGTGGGCAGGTGCCACGTCTTTGGAACAGAAGCGGTCAGCCTGAGAAGCTGCCTTTCAGACTCTGCCTTCCTTATCTGGTTCCCTCCAGCCTTCCAGTGCTCAGATCTGGCAGGGCTGCCAAGCAATCCCAAGTGCTGGTACCTGAGGCCTCTGTTCCAGCTGCAACCTCCATCCGCAGGGCCTGTCCTGATTCTCATTTTCTGTTCCAACTCTTTCAGGGCCCAGTTCATCCATGCCGTGTGTTAGTGAGCGCATTTATATTGAGTGCCTACTATGCACTTGAGTGAGACAGGCATGGTCCCAACCCAGGCATGGTCGGTGCTTCTAGTTCTTAGAGGGGGCTTAGTGTCTGGCTACACCAGGTCATTCAAGGATGGACTCTGAGGCCAGACTGCCCGGGTTCAGCCTGGCTAGGCCACTTCCCAGCTGTGTGTGTCTGGGACAGTTATGCAGCCTCTCTGTGCATCAGTTCTCCTCATCTGTAAAAGAGGATGATAACCGCCCTGCCTCATGGCTTTGTTGTGTAGGTGTAGTGTAAATCCATATAAAACACTTAGAGCAGTGCCTGGCACCTAATAGGTGCTCGATAATCATTGGTTTTGATATTTCTTCTCATTATTACCGTCTGGTTCAGATTTCCTCCTTATGCTGCCCCCTTGCTCCTGCCTTCTGGCTGCCCCTCCTCTACAGCCACAGAGCACTTTGAATGCTTCCAATTAGAGTATCAGTAGCTATGTGATATGGGCCTTTGGGGCCTGTCCACCCTGTCCTCTGTACTTGGGGCAGGGACCACGTTTATTCATCTCTATCCCAGGCCCCTGCACAAACACACCAGTAACGTCTCCAGGACTACTTCTGAGTTTGTGGGTAACACGTGTCCTCAACTCCAACCAAGAAAAGCCTCAGAAGCTCCGTGCTTCCCTGGGCACCAGAGGATGCACACCTGGCCGTATCTCACAGCACACTGACATTCCTCTTGAGCTGTGAAGTCTGGCCAGGATCTGACCCTCCTGAGCTGACAAGGGGGCAGGCACCAGGCTTCTCTGGGACAGGGAACCATGCAGGGCGGGTCATCATAAAATTCATCACTGATGCGCCACCGGTCAGGATGTTTCCCACAGCGATGACTTTGCACCTGCTGGCCCCTTTGCCTGCAAGGCCCTCGCTCCCTTCCCTCTTGATCTCTCCTACTCATCCTTCCAGCGCCGGCTCACACGCCCCCTCTTCCACAAAGCTCTTCCTTTCTTACAGCGTGTTGCTACTTGTTTACATGTCCCTTCTAGAGAAGGGACCATCTTATTCCTGGCTGGGCCCCCAGTGTCCACCAGAGCCTGAAACAGAGGAGGTGTCAGGAAAGATCTGCTGAACGAACTTTTCAAAGCAAACTCAAGTCCACTGGCCTACCTGCCTGCTAAGGCACAGGTGCAAACTGCACATGCCACCTCCCACGGGCCTTTCCAGGCCACCACAGCCCATCGGTGGCCACCTGCTCCATCACAGGGAAGTAGCTGGGGGAGCAGCACAGAATGGAAGTGTCGCTGATGACCCACTGGGCTGGCCTTTCACACGAGCTCTGGCCCTGGATTCTGGCCCCACCCGCGGAGGTGGGTATTTAGGAGATGAAGACCCTGAGACTTGGCCAGTGACACTACTCCCCAGGGGAGTGACAAGGCCGGGCTGAAGTCCCACACTCTTGGGCCTCAGAGCCGACACTTTCTTCTGTCCCATGAGACGACAGATGTGAAGGCATTTTGAATTCTGCCAAGAGAGGAAACTGTAAAACTACCAAATTGCGAAGTGTTACCCACCACACAGAAAATGACTCTAGGGCAGGAGCTCCTTTGTTATGCAGTGGAGAGGAGAGGGCTGGGAAGGGCCTTGGTAACAGCACCACATCCTTAGGGAGCGCAGCCCTGGGGGAGCAGCCTGGCGGTCTTCAGGGACAGGGGAGGAGGAGAGCTGGGTGGGGAAGGGAAAAGGAGCTCTGATGGCAAGCCAGCAGCCCTCCACTGGAGAGGCCCCCAGCACAGGACAGGGACCCCAGCATTCCTGGGGTTGCTCTGCATCGGGAGACCTGAAGAGCCCCAGTGGGGCCACAGACACTTCAGTGAGGGCGTCCTGCCCTGGGCTTCCCATTGCTGATGTTCAGTAGGCTCTGATATGAGCCCCTGTCTTCACTCTCAGCCTCTCCCGGGGCTCCTGGGAGTCCAGAGGCCTCTCTTGGCACCACGGAGCTGACCCTCTTCCTTCCTTGGTCATATAGGACCGAACCCAACTCCCTGGCCTGGCATTCAAAGGCCTACCCACTTTTCCCAGCCCCGTGTCTACCACTCTTCCTCTGTGCCTACACCTCAGCCACTCCACCTTTGCACTTGCTGTCTCCTCTGCCTAGAATGCCCTTCTTCCACTTTTTATTTGGTGAACTTCTACTCATCCTTCAAAGCCCAGATAAAGTGTCTCTTTCAAATGGCCTTTCTTTCTTTCCTTTCTTTCTTTCTTTCTTTCTTTCTTTCTTTCTTTCTTTCTTTCTTTCTTTCTTTCTTTCTTTCTTCCTTCCTTCCT